CCCAAATGGGCCTGGAATAAGAGGGGGAGGGGCTGTGGCTCAGTGGCAGAGAGCCTCTGCTTGGCGTGCAGAAGGTCCCACAGGCTCCATCCCCAGCATCTAAGCTGAAAGGACCACGAAGAAGGTAGTGTGACCAGACGTATGCGTAAGACCCTGGAGAGCCGCTAGCAGTCTGAATAGACAATAATGACTTTGATAGCCCAAAAGTATAAGACAGCTTCATGTGTTCAAGAGGGGCACTCCTGGGGAAGCAAAGAGAAAACTAGACCGTGGATGGAGGGAGCAGTGAAGGCAAGCGAAGGCTGAAGAAATGCTACCACCCGGAAGCAGACCCGTGAGTGCTCTTGTGTTCCTGTCCGCCAGAGTATTTTTTAAGGCTCACACCAACTCAGAAGCAGGGAAACAATTGGTTCTGCAAAGCACCACATGAAACTGCCTTATATTGAATCAGGTTATCAGTCCATCGAGGGTCTCCGGCAGAGGTCTTCCACATCACCTGCTGGCTGGTCCTTCTAACTGGAGATTACGGGACTGAACCTGCATGTCAAGCAGATGCGTTTCATCCCTTGTTTTTTGCTCGCCACCAAAAGCCGCAGGGAGCAGAAAGCAAACAGCTAAGCAGCAGGGAGTTCCCCACCACTCAGTTATTTTTCATACAGAGCAGAAAGCAGGGGTTTAAACGGCTCTGAGCCATTTAAGCCCCCATTTTCTGCTCTTCACGGACCGCATCAAGATTCGTCGTTCATGGTGGCTCTTCAGTTCGAGAACATCACTTCGCGAACCGTGAACCAGCCAAAATTCGTGACGAACTTTAGTTTGTGAGCGGGTTCCTGCCCATCTCTAATCACAACCACAAATCACAGCAGAGTGCAACTGCAGAGCAACTGGTAGCAACAGAGTTGGACTTCTAGCTGTTGCCTGGGACAGGAAATACTGAATCAGCCTCAAACGGAGGCGAAGAGATTGCCCTTTAGTGCTTCCCCAAGTGACAGCTGTGGTGGCTCAAGTGGTTAAGGCGCTGAACTGCAGGCTGGAAGGTCAGTAGTTCAGCAGTTCAAGACCCGAGTTGCCTCATGACAGAGTGAGCTCCCGTCTCTAGTTCCAGCTCCTGCTAACCTAGCAGTTCGAAAGCATGAAATTGTAAGTAGATAAATAGGTACCACTTCTGTGGGAAGGTAACAGCGTCCCGTGCGCCTTGGTGTTTAGTCAAGCCGGCCACATGACCACGGAAACGTCTTCGGACAGCGCTGGCTCTTCGGCTTTGAAACAGAGATGAGCACCGCAACCCTAGAGTCGGACTCGACTGGCTTTCGAGCAAAGGGACCTTTACCTTTACCTAAGTGACAGGAGTGGCAGGATAGGAGTTGATTTCCTACAGAGGTCATTTGGTGCAACACCCTCAAACAACGTTTCTGGGACCTCTTAGGTGTTTTCCTTTCATTGCAATAAAATCGCCCTCCAAAGCACGTAGCATTGCCATGTTCCAGGGGTGCAGCTGACCCTGCTTTTTGGACAGCCATCCTTCAGGGGTCCATTTTGCAGCGCTGAACTTCCAGGGCACATGATGATTGGGACTCAGCACTCCCTCTCACCTAGAACACAGGGTCTGAAGACCTTACTACAAACGTAGTACGGAAATTCTCTAGTTTTTCTTGAGGCTACTTGGTTTGGGGCCATTTTGGAGTGTTAACTGTTAGAGAGAGAGAACTCGCCATACACAATAACTAGATTCAACACCACAAAACACAAAGGTATGGAGCGCACAGTAGAAGCCTCGTCTTGTTATTTCTTGCGACCATTAAGAGATTGGCATTGTAAGGTTTAATTTTATAGATAAAGCTGATCATATACTAGCAATGGCGTGAAGCGGCATATTTGGGGGGGCAGGATTTGACAGCTTTTACTCAAAAATATCTACGCATACCGCACTTTCTCAAAATCTCACTGCAGTACTAGGAAAGTGGCGCCACATCCCAAACCTCTCCCAGCAGGCTTCCTCGTAAGGAACTTGCAACCTGCCTCGTTCCCAGCAAGCCAAGAATGGGGCAAGCGTGGCCGAAAACAGCCTGAGTCCCGCAGACGGAGCAGGTGAACCTGCCCTGCACTTTGCTTTCACACACACTGAATAATTCACTTTCCATCTGCTGCCAATGCCCTCTGCAACTAGTGTTTGCTGCGTGAAATGGCAAAATCCACTTGCAAACAAACACTAAAGTGCATCGACAGTGGACTGAGACGTGCATCATCCGGCTTGTGTCGAAGTGCCACAGGGAAGCGTCACCTGCTCGAATCCCCATGTGTCAGGCGGCTGTCAATGGCGCAGGAGGAGAGGAGAAGAAGAAGAAGAGAAGAGATTGGATTTATACCCCGCCCTTCACGTGGAGTCTCAGAGCAGTTTACAAACTCCTTTCCCTTCCGGATAAAAGGAAGTACTTCTTCACCCAAAGAGTGATTAACACTTGGAATTCACTGCCACAGGAGGTGGCGGCGGCTACAAGCATGGACGGCTTCAAGAGGGAATTAGATAAACATATGGAGCAGAAGTCCAACAGTGGCTATTAGCCACAAGGTATAGATAGGGACTCTGGGGCAAGTGATGCTCTGTCATCTTGGTGCTTGGGGGGGGTCAACAGTGGGAGGGCTTCTAGTGTCCTGGCCCCACTGGTGGACCTCCTGATGGCACCTGGTATTTTTGGCCACTGTGTGACAGAGTGTTGGACTGGTGGATGGGCCTTTGGCCTGATCCAACATTGGCGTCTCTTATGTTCCCCTCCCCACAACAGGTGGGGCTGAGAGCTCTCTGACAGAAACTTCTCTTTCAAGGACAGCTCTGAGAGAACTATGGCTTGCCCAAGGTCATCCAGCAGCTGCAACTGGAGGAGTGGGGGGAATCAAACCCGGTTCTCCCAGATTAGAGTCTGCGCACTTAACCACGACACCAAAGAGGGCATACGCAGAAGAGTCTGCCTCACCTTGGCCCTCTGATCATGCAGCTAGCCCTCCTCTTTAGTTTCTCCTCAGTGCTTTCACCATTCCAAGAGAGCAAGGAAAGCTCTGCCAGTGTTCTTGGAGCGCACAGTAGAAGCCTCGGCTTGTTATGCGTCTGGCCCAGCTTTTCATGGCCAGCCGGACAACTGGCCAGCCGGACAACTTTGGGAACTGCACAAGCAGGGCAAGAACTTATTTCAAGATGGGGCAGCCATGTTACTCTGTCTGTAGCAGTGGAAAAGAGCAAGAGTCCGGGAGCACCTCAAAGACTAACAAACTATGTGGCCGGGGAGGAGGAGCTTCCGTGAGTCACAGCTCCCTTCTTCAGATACAACTGGAATGCATCTGAAACAGTGAGCAACGACTTACGAAAGCTCGACCCCCGCCACAGATTTTGTTAGTCTTCAAGGTTCCACGGGAATGTACCCATTTATTGAATTCATTTATACCCCCGGCCTTTCTCCCCAGTGGGCTCGTATCATTCTCCTCTCCTTCATTTTATCCTCACCACAACCCTGCGAGTGAGGTCAGGCTGAGCGTGCGTGACTGGCCCAACGTCACCCAGCAAGCTTCCATGGTACAAGTGGGGATTCGAACCTGGGTCTTCCAGATCCTAGTCCGGCACTCTTGACCTCACCGGCTCACCGAAAGCCCCCAGGCTGCCTTGTTTGTCTGACCCCCCGGTACGTAGCCCTTAAAGCATCCAACCTCTGACAGAAGAAGTCCACTGATCTATTAAACCCGCTGAAGGAGGAACTGTTGAGCTCCATGAATTCCTCATCTACAGCGGCTCAAAAGCCAGCTCAGGGAACTGACCCTGTCGGAGATGATGCTGATGAATTCCTTCAGTGAGTTGCGGGAGAGGAGGAGTTCCTTTTTCAGTCCTGGCTTTGGACTCTACCAAGAGTGCAGACTGTACTTGCCCGTATTTGCTCTTCTCATATCACTTTCTGCAGGTTCGCCCCCCGCCTCCCCCCTTGGCCCCTTCCAAGAGCGCTCCTCCCACACTGATTTAGCGACATGTCTCGGCCACGTGGGCAGGTCCCGTGTTGGAAGAACAATGAGAGGGGCACGGGCAGGAGAGCTCAATGCTGGATATGGCAAGGAACCAGGAAGGAAGACAGGAAGGCCCACCCGGGGGAAGGGATTCAGTGGGGAACCGACACAAACACGTCTTTGGGACTTTGGACTCGGTCACTGCCATCCCGCTGCCAGATTCCAAAGCAAATTATTCCATCAAATTAAAATAAAACATGCAGAATCTCAATGCAGATATTTTTTGAGGTATTGAAAGAAGGACGACACAGAATTGCAGTCTTAAACCACAGCTACGCACATTTACCTTTGGTTATAGAAGTGGGGGTGAAGATGTTTTAAGAGGAGGAGGAGGAGGAGATTGGATGTATACCCCCCCACACCGTTCACAACCCGAAGGAGTCTCAGAGCCACCTTACCATCTCCTTTCCCTTCCCCTCCCCACAACAGACTCCCTGTGAGGTAGGCGTGGCTGAGGGAGCTCTCCCGAGAACTGCCCTTGAGAGAACAGCTCTGAGAGAACTTGTGACTGACCCAAGGCCACACCAGCAGCTGCATGTGGAGGAGTGGGGAATCAAACCCGGTTCTCCCAGATTAGAGTCCGCGCTCCTAACCACCACACCAAACTGGCTCTCAAACCACTACATCAAACCCTGGTTCCATTACGGTTTGACTTGCAGTTCCCATGAATTCTGATGCAAAGTTTCATTTGTAAGTGGCTTAATTTTTCTCATAAACCAAAGGGGTGTTTTTTTAAATCCTAGAATATATGTATCACAAATGACACCAGCTTCTGGTTTGATGTCAAAATGGCCAAGGAACACAAAATGGCCAAGGAACAACACTGAGCTCTCGGTTACTAGCGAAACTGCTGGCTCGGTCAGAAACACTGCTGCAGTGGTGGCTGACACCCCCCTCCCTCCACAGGTGTCAAATGCGCACGTTTCACTAGAGCAATGGTGGAGCTGGATACTTACAGAAGCAGAGGAAGAGTGTGTCTACGCACATGGCATACACGCTGAAAAACCCATGTGCAATGAGATAGGAGCCAACGACAACCGTCTACGAGAGAAAACAAGTGGTCATATCACTGCCAGGTCCCAGCTCTCCCAACAGTTGTGAACTGGATTCAGGTGGGTAGCCGTGTTGGTCTGAAACAGTAGAACAAAGGCTGAGCCCAGTGGGGCACCTTTAAGACCAACAAAGTTTTATTCAAGGTATAAGCCTTCAAGCGCATGTACACTTCTTCAGATACCTGAACAATGGCTGAGTCCAGGGGCACCTTTAAGACCAACGAAGTTTAATTCTGGGTATACGCTTTAGTGTGCATGCACACTTCTTCAGATACATATGTGCACGTACATATCCAGGCCCATCCTATCCTATCCTATCCTATCCTATCCTAAGAAGTGTGCGTGCATACGAAAGCTTATATCCAGAATTAAACTTTGCTGGTCTTCAAGGTGCCGGTTTTGATACTGTCCATGGGGTTTTCTTGGCAAAGATACTGGAGTGGGTTGGAGAAGACCCTGATGCTGGGAAAGATTGAAGGTCAAAGAAGACGGGGACGGCAAAGGATGAGATGGTTAGACAGTGTCATCGACGCAACGAACATGAAATTGAGCCAACTTCAGAGGACGGCGGAAGACAGGAGGGCCTGGCGGGAGCTGGTCCATGGGGTCGCGGAGAGTCGGACTCGACTGTGCGACTGAACAACAACAAGGTGCCCCTGGAGTCAGCCTCTGTTCAGGTACCCGAAGCAGTGCGCGTGCACACAAAAGCTCCTACCCAGAATTAAACTTGGCTAGTCTTAAAGATGTCACTGGACTCAGCCTTTGCTCAGGGATCTGAAGAATTGTGCCTGCACACTAAAGCCTACACCCAGAATTAAACTGTGTTGGTCTTCAAGGTGCCCCTGGAGGACTCAGCCTTTGCTCAGTTGTGAACTACAATTGGTAGTACAGCTAGACTGAAGTCCAGCAGCATCTGAGAGACCGACAAGATTCTCGGGGTTATGCGCTTCCGAGAATCAAAGCTCTTTTTGTCAGACACAAGTTGGAATGGAGATCCCAGAGTCCTCCTCTCCCAGCCTGGAGGTGGGAGGGGCGTTACAAAGAAGGAGCTCAGGACCAATGTGCCCTCTAAGCTGTGGAGCCTTGTGAGCAAAAATTCTACTTTGTGAGCTACCGGCATTAACGTTGGGAGCGAGCGGATTTGGCTGCTGCATAAATTAGTTTGCTCCGGAGCCCTCCTTCCTGAGCTGAGACAAAAATGTGTGAGCCGGAGGCTAAAAAACTGTGAGCTGGCTCACACTAACTCAGCTTAGAGGGAACACTGCTCAGGACCAATGTTCCCTCTAAGCTTTGGAGCCTTGTGAGCAAAAATTCTACTTTGTGAGCTACTGGCATTAAAGCTGTGAGTGAGCAATTTGGCTCCTGCATAAATTAGTTTGCTCCAGAGCCCTCCTTCCTGAGCTAAGACAAAAATGTGTGAGCCGGAGGCTAAAAAACTGTGAGCTGGCTCACACTAACTCAGCTTAGAGGGAAGACTGCTCAGGGCCCAGAGGGGCAAGCCACATCGCAGTCAGCTTTGATTAGAGCAGGGGAGAAAGGCTTAGGGACAGGAAAATTAGCAACTGCGGTGAAGATGCACCCTTCGCCACCTCTAGCAGCGACTATGTCAGTGCAATAAACAAAAATCAATGTTTACTTTGCCTCCACTGTCCTCTCCCATTCATCAACAAGCAATATGGCCGAGAGAGAGGGAGAGAGCTCCCTGGCGGGAAGGAAAATCACTGGCAAAGGGAGGTTCAGCTCTCAACCGGTAGAGCCGGACTGGAGAAGTAATATGCCAGCCAGCGGCAGCTATTAAATACCAACCAGAATGGGGACCCAGTAGTAGTTGAGGGACGGTGTGGAGTCCTGAATCAGTCTTATCCTTTGGGTGAAGAAGAAGAAGGCGAGAATGCCTGAAGGGGAAGGAAAGAAATCACACTTAGTTTCAAAATTTTCTGACAAACCTTCAATCTGAAAGTTTAAAGCTGGGGAAGGAGGAGGAGGAGGAGGAGGAGGAGGAGATTGGATGTATACCCCGCCCTTCACTAACCGAAGGTGTCTCAGAGCGTCTGACAATCTCCTTTCCCTTCCCCTCCCCACAACAGACACCCACCCTGTGAGGTAGGAGGGGCTGAGAGAGCTCTTTTGAGGACTGTTCTTGAGCACACAGTTCTGAGAGAAATGTGACTGACCCAAGGTCACACCAGCAGCTGCATGTGGAGGAGTGGGGAATCAAACCCAGTTCTCCCAGATTAGAGTCCGCGCTCCTAACCACTACACCAAACTAGCTCTCTCTCTCTCTCTCTCTCTCTCTCCCTCTCTGCCCCCTTCATATCTCTGGAAAAACAACACACAAGCAAACCGTGCAATATGAATAACATTTGTAAGATTTATATTGCATTTTAAACTTTATAAGATTACAAAGATTTGTCCAACATTCTCAATTATACAATACTAGAAATAATGCCCGTTGTGGAAATAAATACAACGGGATCTAGAAAGAGGCTCTAGGAGAGTGCTCTGGCTTTGGGCAAACAGTGTCAGTTTCCTGTGGCGACCTCAGCAGGGTTTAATGACAAGAGTCCACTGTTTTCTCCAGAGGGACTGATCTCTGCTACCTGAAGAGCATTTGTATGTTTGAGTTATCTGTAGCCCTCACCTGGAGAGTGGTAACCATTGTTACCCATTCTCCTCTCCCCTATGAGGTATGTTATGCAACTGAAAACCCCAACTGCCTTGCGGGGGGGGGGAGTTTGAGGTGTGGAATGGACTGAAGTCCAATCAGCTTCCATATGCAAAAGACCAGGTTGTCGCAGCAGTTGTGGTGTGGGCGGGACCCGGGCTTTGCCTTCTGATTGGTGGCGATATATGCTGAGGAGCAGTGCCATCAGCCATACACTAAGGGAGTGCATTTTAGAATTAGAACTTTGGCACCCACTATTCAATTATATATAAGGAGAGATTGTAGAAAAAGTCCAACATTGTCAATGAGTACCCGGTTATACATTCATTTCAACTTTGCGGTCTTCCTCCGGAGCAATCCTATATTGTAAGGAGGTGTCAGCTTCTTAATCCAGCTCAGTACTGTAATTTCTTAATTTCCTTCATAGTATCCTGGAATAAACCAGGGTCAACCAGGGAGGAAGACCGCAAAGTGTATAACCGGGTACTCATTGAGAATGTTGGACTTTTTTACAGTATTGTATAATTGAGAATGTTGGACAAATCTTTGTAATCTTATAAAGTTTAAAATGCAATATAAATCTTACAAATGTTATTCGTATCGCACCGTTTGCTTGTGTGTTGTTTTTCCCTGTTGGATACCTGTGATCCCTTTTGGTTTGTGCCCCTTCGTATCTCGGCCTGGTCTGGAGGCCTCGTCTCCACTCCTCCCCATCCAGACCTCCCCTGACCCAGCAAACACAAGTCTGAACTAAGCGCATTCAGTGACTTGCAAATGGACAGCCGTTTCTTCCTGTCGCCAGCAGCTAAAATGGTCCAGTGGACAGCAATACAGCCGCTTGGGCGCATGCAGCCACTTGGAAAGGACGCCCAACGTATGAGAAAAGGCCTTACCCACACTTCCTACAATCAGGAGTTTGCCAAGGAAAAGCAGGAAGTCTGTAACTTTATCCAGAACGGCCACCCTGAAAGTGAGAGAGAGAGGGGGGGGGATAACGTTTTCACCCATTTTCTGAGAATGTTCTAGGTGTATCCTGTGGAGATCCGCTGTTCCCCTTCCCGGGCCAGGTTCAAGCCACACACAACATGGGACCTCCTTAACGTTACGGGTATTCCAGTCCCACAGCACGTAGGACGTCTGTGGCTTTATCGGGAACAGCCGCCCTGAACGGGTTCCGATTTGGGGCTTACAACTTGAGCTTGCTTGGAAGAGGAAGAGCCCTGGCCACACCCAAACCACGTTTGCTAAGCCAACGCCGGCTGGCGGCCCATCAACATGGAACACACGATGCTGCCTGCAACTGAGTCAGAACATCGGTCCTTCGAGGTCGAGTACTGTCTACCCGGACTGGCAGTGGCTCTCCAGGGTCTCAGGCAGAGGTCTTTCCCATCACCAACTGCCTGGTCCTTTCAGCTAGAGCCACCAGGGATAGAACCTGGGACCTTCTCTACCAAAAGCAAAGGCTCCACCCTTGCACCATGGCCCCTCCCCTCTTCAGTTTCCCCACCTCCCGACACACTCATTCCGGTTCGGGTGGCTGGTGCCCCTCCCCACAAGTGAGGGGAGAGAATAACTCATAGTATCTTCCAGGGGTCATTTCCTGCGGGAGTGCACAGGAGCGGAGCTCCGCCAGTAAGGAGCCCAGGGGGCGGGCACATGCAACAAGCCCCGCCCCCTGCTCCCAGCAGCCCTCAGTTGGGCCACGAGGAGCAAGAAGCAGCCGGGTAAGTTGCAGAGGCCGGCTCGCCTTCAGGTACAAGCTCTCCCTCCTCTGTGAGGGCAGATCTGCGCGTCCCCCCTCAATAGCTAGCAATCCAAAACAGTCCAGTGGTGGGTGTTGTCTTCTGACACACTTCCGGTGATGCCAGGGGGTGTGGCATATGCAAATAAGTCGTGCTAATAAGTTATGCTAATGAGCTCCTGCACCTCTTTTTCTACGAAATGGCCCCTGGTATCTTCTGAGAGAAAGTTACTCGTGCCGTCAAAGCTGGACGTGTCCAGTCCACAAGCGGTTTGCCCGGGGAAGACTCACCACCCCCCTGGACCAAAGAAACTGGCTGGCAGCAACAGAATGGCAGCTCACTGGCCGGCCCTCACCTGATGATATTCCTCATGAGCAGGAAAAAGGCGTTCCTTGCAGACGTGCAGAAGTTGGTGCCGTAAATGGCAATCTGGAGGAGAACACAAGCGTTATATGCCAGACAAGGAACCGTGGGAATTGGCGGGAGTTATTCGGAGGCGCATTGGAGGGCTTTAATCTCAGGCTTCAGCCAGCCCTCCAGAGCTGGTCACTCCAAGTTATGCTTCATGCAATTCTCATGCAATTCCGCAGGGCCTGTAAGGCAGAGATGTTCCGCCAGGCAGCAGCGGTTTCCTTATTGGCCGGCACCCTTCCTCCCCCCCCTGCCCCCATTGTTTTCTTGTTTTGAGTTCCTTTCACACACACACACACACACACACACACACACACCGCCCCAAAAAAAGGGCTGGTAGTCCGGAATTGGGACAGACAATATTAAAGGGAAATGGCCAGCTTGGATTTTTTAATTGGCCATTGACATTTTTATTAAGCTATTGAATTTTAACGTTTTTGTATATTTTACAACATCATGTCTTGTACACCGCCCAGAGCTCAGCATAAACTGGGATAGGGATGATGATGATGATGATGATGATGATGATGATGAAATGTTAGACGGTTTGTACCAGTGTGATAACCTGGGGCCCTTGGTAGCTGGGGGCGGGTGGGCACAGATACTCTGCTGTTCTCTTTCCTGCCCCTTCCTCAGTCTTCCCATCAAACCCCAAACTTGAACCAATCGGAGCGGCCATGCCCTCATTCGTACCAGGTCCCACTTCTTACGGAAGTCAGCCAGACTTCCACCCAAGCTTGAACCTTCACCAGGACCACAAGTGTGGGTACGGGCTTCCCAAAACAATCAAAACACAGGGCACATAAGGCTCAGACAACCGGCCTACTGTTGTGTTTTCCTTGCTGTGGCAATGCCCCAGCTAACGATAGGCATGGCCAAATGTTAAATGTTTCCTTATTCTTAGAAACACCAGGTCTACCCCTTTCCTAATTCACATGAACCGATGTTCTAAAAGAAGGAAAGCCGACAAACCCTGCCATGTCTATAACAGAATATGCATTTGTTTCTAATGAATGGTAGCTTTGGTATGGTGCATGAATCATCTGAGATACCTAGGAACTTCCTTCCCTTCCCTACCCTACCCTATCAGTCTTTTACAACTTCCCTTCCACCTCCCTTCCCTGCCAGTTTCATCTATCTCTGAGTTCCCTGCAGCCCTGTAGCCAGAAACTGTGGGTTGTTGGGGCATGGGGAAATTTTGTGGGGCAGAAAGAGAGGGGCAGCCACATGCCTTCCCTGAACTCCAAGTGGCAATTTCCTGGGCCAGCCACCCTGGCTTTCCACTTTCAGGGGACGGGATTAGCAGGGACGGTATTTCTTACACATCCATCCCTTACAGTACAGGACACACCAGTAAATGCGGTGTCTCTGAAATGCATAATTCCTCTTGAATGCACCTGGAAGGCAGCCGCTGCCTTTCTTCCTGATGCCACAAATCTGTCCCGCTGGACTATACTGCAGGTAAATCACCTCCCAGGAAATGCGACCCTTGGCTTGTCAGAACCACCCTTGCCCTCACCATTTCAACATGGTAGCAAGCAATGGGAGAAAGCACTGAGTCTGTCCCCGTGGTTCTACTATCCCTGCCACGCTGACCCCAAACAGGTGTTGGTCAACAGAGGAACCAGCACAGGTTCCAAGATCCAGCACTGCTGGGCACTGGTGACAGAGCTGAACTTACATAATCACAATCACAAACACCATCTGAACATACTCCAAGGCTCACTGCAGGAAGTGGTGGCAGCTACAATCATAGGTAGCTTCAAGAGGGGACTGGATAGACTGGATGGAGCAGAAGTCCATGAGTGGCTGTGAGCCGGAAGGTCTAGATGGAACACTCTGTCTGGGGCAGAGATGCTCTGTGTTCTTGGTGCTTGGGGGGCAAGAGTGGGAGGGCTTCTGGAGTTCTGACCCCCGCTGTTGGACCTCCTGACGGCACCTGGGTTTTGGCCACTCTGTGGCACAGAGTGTTGGACTGGATGGGCCATTGGCCTGGTCCAACATGGGTCCTCTTATGTTCTTATATGGAGCAGAGGTCCATGAGTGGCTATTCACCACAAGGTCTAGATGGAACATTCTATCTGGGGCAGTGATGCTCTGTGTTCTTGGTGCTTGGGGGGCATCAGTGGGAGGGTTTGTGGCGTTCTGGCCCTGCTGCTGGACCTCCTGAGGACACCTGGGTTTTGGCCACTGTGTGACACAGAGTATTGGACTGGATCAGCCGTTGGCCTGATCCAACATGGCTTCTCTTATGTTCTCAATCACACTTGAGAATACGTGCTAAGAATGAGACATGCCTACCACACAGTTGGCCATGCTGCCATGCAAGACTTTCAAGCAAGGAGAAGCGGGTGTACAATTCTAGAAACTCCCGTTGGGGGTTGATTGTGTAAAAAGGATGTAAACAGACTGGTAGCTATTAGATTGTACAAACTGATTATTATCGTTGATATTGCATGTCATGAATATATACCTGTTTTAGAATATCTCTCCTTATATATAATTGAGTAGTGGGTGCCAAAGTTCTAATTCTAAAATGCACTCCCTTAGTGTATGGCTGATGGCACTGCTCCTCAGCATATATCGCCACCAATCAGAAGGCAAAGCCCGGGTCCCGCCCACACCACAACTGCTGCGACAACCTGGTCTTTTGCATATGGAAGCTGATTGGACTTCACTCCATTCCACACCTCAAACTCCCCCCCCCACAAGGCAGTTGGAATGACAGTTGCATATGGAATCTGCTGTATTCTGGTGGTGTGTAGGTCCCAGATTCATGTTTTAAAAGCAGACTGACACTGTTGGGGCATTTATTTCCACAACGGGCCTTATTTCTAGTTATGAATAATACACAATGCACTTTATAAGATGGAACATATAGAACACTTTAACTTATAAAAAAGGTTTTTGCAGTGTATATATATTTGTTGTTTTGCCATGCAAGCACTGGCAGTGTTTAGGATGGGTATGCATCAGGCAGCCAAGGTGGCTTCAAGACATAAATTAAGAATGGAGAACGGGGGGGGGGGGGGAACTGGCCAACGGGGTGGTGGTGGTGGTCTGGTAGCGTAACTGGTTTGAAAGCGGCCTCCGCAGTTGTCTCGAGTACCACCGAGACCTGCATTCACTTCCTGGGGAGTCTACAAAAGTGGATGTCCTCACCATGATGTAGGCATTTCTGTTCAGGAACTTGATGAATTTCTCCAGGCACCAGAAGCAGCACTTGAGACAGGTCAAGAGGAACTTGGCAAACTTGTTCTCAGCAGCTAATAACGGGGAGACCAACACGAGAGAGGAGTTGTCGTTTTTCTTTGTCAGGTTTGAATTCTTGAGAATCGGCCTCCCTTCCCAGAAAAACACTGACTTTCTTAGCCCTCGTATTTTTTTTAATCTTAATTATTTAAAAACATTTACTCACTGCCTTTCTGCCTTACAGAAACTCAAGGAGGTTTACAGGGCAAATGATAATGGAATACATAAAATACAAAAAAACCCACTGGTTAAAATCAGATTCAGGTGGGGGTGGCTGTTTTGGTCTGAAGCCACAGAGCAAAATCTGAGTCCAGTGGCACCTTTTAAGACCAACAAAGTTTTATTCTGGGCGTAAACGTTCACGTGTGCGTGCACGCACACGTGAACGTTTACGCCCAGAATAAAACTTTGTTGGTTTTAAAAGGTGCCACTGGACTCAAACTTGGTTAAAATCAGTAATTTAAAACTGCTGGTCAGCAGAAGAGCCAATCAAATGCCGTCGTGAATAAAACGGTCTTCCGCTGCCTCCTCAGGATCGAGACTGAGGGGGGCCAGGTGCACCTCTCTGAGGAGACTGTCCAATAGCCGTGGGGCTGCCACCGAAAAGGCCCTCCGTCATGTCCCCACAAGACAAGCTTCTTTGGTCGATGGGGGAGTCAGGAGGGCCCCTCCCTGTGGTCTTAGTTCCTGGGTAGGAACGTGTGGGAGAAGACGGCCCTCCAGCTATCCCAGGCCCAAGCCGAGTAGACCTTCGAAGGTCAAAACTGTCAGTTATGCTGCCATTGAGGCTGGTGGAGGGGGAGGTGGTTGATTTGTGTCTCCTTCCAGGTTTGGTATGCTGGGTTTCGATTCTCGGGATTCCTTTTATTGCTGTTCGGCCTTGGTGTCTGCTGCACTGCTTTCCCTTGGAATGTGAACCCCTTTAGTTTTAGGCGCCTTTCTTCCCCGAGTGGCTTTGAGCCATCAGGTGACCCCGCTTTGAACCAGGTATAACTGACCCTTTCCCGCTTTTCGAATTAGTTCTGACACTGAGCGTGTATGGATGACTTGCCTATAAAAAGGTAAAGGTTCCCTTGCTCGAAAGCCAGTCGAGTCCGACTCTAGGGTTGTGGTGCTCGTCTACGTTTCCAAGCCGAAGAGCCAGCGCTGTCCGAAGACGTTTCCGTGGTCATATGGCCGGCATGACTCAACACCAAAGCGCACGGAACGCTGTTACCTTCCCACCGAAATGGTACCTATTTATCTACTTGCAATGTCTTGCTTTCGAACTGCTAGGTTGGCAGGAGCTGGAACTAGAGACGGGAGCTCACTCCGTCTTGCAGCACCCGGGTCTCGAACTGCTGAACTACCGACCTTCCACAGCCTGCAGTTCAGCGTGTTAACCTTTGTTGAAAGCCTGTTATCGATTCCTGATTGCTGCAAGACTCTGACAAAAGCCAGCATCTTGAATTGGGCTCGGGAGTGGATTGGAAGCCAGTGTAGTTGCTGTAGGATTGGGGTCACATGATCCCTGTAACTGGCTCCTGACTACCTGCAGCCTCCGAACACTCTTCAAGGGTAGCTCCAAGTAGAGGTCATTGCAGTAGTCCAGTCTAGATGGAACTAAGGCATGGATTACTGTGGCTAGATCAGACTGAGCCAGGAGATGCTAAATATAGATTCCATAGTCTCCGTCACTGCATCTGAACAAGGATGCTCTGATGTATAAAAGTGCGCGCGCTGATATAAATGTTCTTAGTGTTTAAAGTGCCACTGGACGTCTGTTTTGTTTTACTGCAATGCACCAACATGGGTACCATAATGGATTTGGATGGTTTGCTTGTCTCAGAGGTTTAAGAGCTGACACAAGACACAATTCGTGTCAGGCAAAGTCAAAGCCATCCTCTTGGAAGACGCAACTGCTGTAGTACTGGGGTCACGGTAGGCGGCCCTGACCAGCAGTCCAGCAGCCGCATTCTGCACTAGCTGCAGCCGCCAAACACTCTTCAAGGGCAGCCCCAGCAGAGCGCACAACAAGTTAGCCGATGAGGGAAAACATAACTTGGAAACCTGGGGAGATCTGAGAACTATGGAGAACAAGAAAAACTGTGGAAAAGTGACGCTTAATATATGTCTTTAAAGAATCATAGAAAAGTGAACAAAAATTCAAGCATTACAATCATCTTAGCCCATGGCAAGGTTCTACTATACATTACAGCTGTTATGATTATTGAAAATCTTCTTTGATAATTGTGAGACGTCACCAGAGGAGATGAACTATTGAGAGACAGTTTTTGTCCCACATCTTTGTTCAGAAGATCTTCCTTCGAAACGGCAAGACATTCCGGAGATCACCGTCAATATATATTTTTCTATGATTATGTATATTATTTTTGTTCACTTTTCTATGATTCTTTAAAGCCGTATATTAAGCGTCACTTTCTCACAGTTTTTCTTGTTCTCCGTATGATCTCATTACTGTGCCAATCCATTGTTATTATAACTGGGGTTTTTTGGAGATCGGAGGACTGCCATTTCCTTCCTTGCCAACTTCCAGCTAGTAGGAGAAGAGAACATGCTGAGCCTTCCATTCAGTACTTTTCCCGCGCTGACCCCTTTCCCCCTGTTCCGTACCTTTTAACCTGTGGTCCAAGTACTCCAGAAGGACCCGGATGATCTGGACGATAGCAAGGATCAGTGACCCAAAAGCCAGTGAGCCAGTGTGATACCTGCCCAGGGAGAAAGCAGGAGCAGAGAACTCAGGATCAGGGAAGGCTTTGGACCCCTTTGCGAAATATTCGTCCTGGAGAATACGAGGATGTCGGCCTATGTGGCGGGGGGGGGGGGGGACACAGACACACACACACAGATAGCCTAAGCAAGCTAAAGTTTCTCCGGTTCTATTTTGAACTCCAGACTCCACCCCGGAGGGCCATGCACACGGAAATCCCAATGACAACAGCAGGGTTCCCCTGACCTTTCTGAGCCAATGGGCACCTTTGGAATTCTGACACAGAGTTGTGGTGCAATCGCAAAATGGCTGCCTAGGAGGCGGAGCCACACACAGAGAGAAAGCCCAAGTTGCAGGGGAGAAGGCGAGTAATTAAAAAAAAAAACAGACTGGGAAAGAGGAGTGAGAGGGAATAAAACAAACACTGCGGTGGCCGGTGCTGCTGAAGCCGTCTTATTTGAATCTGCATAGCCAATCAGAAGCCTTGCTGGGCAAGTGCCCCACCCACTTTCTGAAAACGCTTGGTGGGCACCAATAAAAGAAGAAGAAGGTGAGATTGGATTTATTTCCCGCCCTTCACTACCCAAAGGAGTCTCAGAGAGCGGCTTACAATCTCCTTTCCATTCCCCTCCCCACAACAGTCACCCTTGTGAGGTCGCCGGGGCTGAGAGAGCTCTTTTGAAGACTGCCCTTGAGAGAACAGCTCTGAAAGAACTTGTGACTGACCCAAGGTCACACCAGCTGGCTGCATGTGGAGGACCGGGGAATCAAACCCGATTCTCCCAGATTAGAATCCTTGCACTTAATCACTACACCAAACTGGCTCTTAAATTAAAGGTGTGGGGGCACCATGTGGGGGATACCTGTGCTACAGCTATTATCTATCTATTCCAGTTGGCCTCAATTCCTTGGTCCAAACACGGGGCCTCCTGCCATAAAGCTATCAAAGTCCTCTTGACTCATGGAACTAAGTTAGAGGCCTACTGGAACCAGTGTTCCCTCTAAGCTGAGTTAGTGTGAGCTAGCTCACAGTTCTTTAGCCTCCGGCTCACACCTTTTTGTCTTGGCTCAGGAAGGTGGGCTCCGGAGCAAACTAATTTATGCAGCAGCCAAATCGCTCGCTCCTAACTTTCACACCGGTAGCTCACAAAGTAGAATTTTTGCTCACAAGACTCCACAGCTGAGAGGGAGCACTGGGAACAGATCTCAGGCTGTCTGAGAGTAACCTGTTCCACCCCCATCGCTCACCTGCAGCATCAACATTCACACAAAAATGGAAACTGTAAATAAGGTGCTGTTCTCTGTTAGCAATGTGAAGTCACTGCTGTGCAAAACTACATTCGAGTTTCAAAACTGGCACTTTCCCCTTTTTTTAATACCAGGCAGGTTAAGTGCTTTGGCAGGGTGCCTCACCTTTTCCAGAGTGCAGGTAAATAAACTCATCCTGAGCGGAAATCATTGTGTGGCTCTTCTGTACCTCAGATCCCGATACCCTCACGCCCCCTTCCCTTAGAATCACAGAGCTGGAAGGGACCTCCAGGGTCATCTAGTCCAACCCCCTGCACAAGGCAGGAAATTCACAAATACCTCCCCCTCCACACGCACCCAGTGACCGCTGTTCCACACCCAGAAGGTGACAAAAAAAACCCTCCAGGATCGCTTCCTGATCCCAAAGTGGCGATCGGCATTTCCCTGGGTGTGTAAGGAAGGGCCACGAGAACTAAGCCCTGAGGCGACCCTCCCTGCCCTCCCTCTCGTGATCTGCCCAAGTTCACAGAATCCTTATCCTTCACTGGCACGTTGGCACTGACACCCTTCTCCCTGGGCTCCTCACCTGAGCGCTCGGCCAAAGGAAGAGAAGAGGGGAAACGCCGGCATATCGTCCGGTTTCTTAAAGGCCCAATAATAGGAGGCAAAGGCCCCTGCCAGGGTGACCTGGCCCAGGGCAATGACGAAGTTGGCGAGCCAGAAGAACATGAAGACATTGTAGATCTGGAAGACGATGAGGTACTTGTGATAGGCAGTTTCCCCACCGTAGAAGGCAAAGAGACAACGGGCATCCGGGCACTCCTTGGCAATGCTGGAAGTGTTGAAGGTCTAGAAAGGGGAAGGGATTCAAAAATTTTCATCCACACACATGAAGGTGCCTTATACTGAATCAAACTCTTGGTCCATCAACGTCAGTATTGTTTGCTCAGACCACCACCCCCTTCTCCAGGGTTTCAGGCTGAGGTCTTTCCCACCACCCCCTTCTCCAGGGTCTCAGGCTGAGGTCTTTCCCACCACCCCCTTCCCCAGGGTCTCAGGCTGAGGTCTTTCCCACCACCCCCTTCTCCAGGGTCTCAGGTGGAGGTCTTTCCCATCACCCCCTTCTCCAGGGTCTCAGGCTGAGGTCTTTCCCATTACCTCCTCCCTGATCTCATTAACTGGAAATGCCAAGGATTGAACCTGGAATTTCTAGACGGAAAACAGATGCTCTTCCACTGAGCCACAAGCCCCTGCAGTAATTCTGAATACACAGGGTTCCCCCCCCCCCAAGTTATTTAATTGAGTATGTTTAATTTGCTCCTATTTTTAGATTGTTTCTCACCTCCGGGTTGCACCTGGTCCCAGAATAGTCACAGTGTGTCTCATTAAACACCTTGTAGATGGCTTCGTTAGAGGTAGATAAGAACCTGGAAGCGGTTAAGGGGCTCTACTTGGCCAAAAAGTGTACCACCCGCCCCTGCCTTTGAGAGCCTGGCAGCTGGTGGGGATTTTCAGACACCCCCCCACCCACCCCCCACAATTCACCTTGCCCGGAGAGGGAAACTGAGGAAGGATACACAGCCGTGCTAGCCCAGTAAGCGATACAGAGGCACACCAGGAAGAAAGTGCAGAGCGGAAATAACAAGGACGTCATGATGTGTCCGATGGCCCTGCGGGAGAGAAGAGCACATCGGTGACTACAAAGGCCTCATCCAGCCCAGCAAGTGCAAAGCCCAACTTCTGTCTCAGACTTCGGATACAAAAACGACTACAGCTTGGCAAATGGAAACGAGAACTTGTTTGGGAAGAGCCAAATTCGAGTCCCGGTAGCACTTTAGAGACCAACAAGCGTTTTGGGGGAATAAGCTTTTGAGAGTCAAAGTTTCCCTTCGTCGAAAGCTTATTCCCCCCCAAATTCTGTCAGTCTCTAAGTGCGACTGGACTCGAATGTGGCTCCTCTACTTCAGATCAATACAGCTATCTTCTGGAACTTTCTTAGAAGAGGAGGAGATTGGATTTACACCCCACCCTTTAGTACCCGAAGGAGTCTCAAGAGCGGCTTACACTCTCCTTTCCCCTCCCCTCCCCACAACAGACACCCTGTGAGGTAGGTGGGGCTGAGAGAGCTCTTTCGAGGACTGCCCTTGGGAGAACAGCTCTTAGAAAACTTATGACTGACCCAAGGTCACACCAGCAGCTGCATGTGGGGGAGTGGGGAATCAAACCCGGTTCTCTCAGATTAGAGTCCGTGCTCCTAACCACTACACCAAACTGGCTGTTAGGAAGGATATTCTGGTCAGTTATTTCTGGACAGGACAACAGAGAGATCAAGTTTCCAATTACTGAACTCCTCCATTGTCTCTTTGAGAAACCATGCTGGATTTTCCAGCCCCAACAGAATCGGACAGGAAAGCAAACTATGTGTGGAAATGCAGTGGGGGTAGATACAGTGCTGTGATATACACGCTAAACATTGCAGAGCTGGAAAAAGTACACAGGAGGGCAACCCAGATGATGAGGGGTTTGGAGCACCTTCCCCTATGAGGAAAAGCTGAACAGTCTGGGACTTTTCAGTTTACTAAGGGAGGGACGTGACAGAGGTTTATAAAATTACGCAAGCGGTGGAGAGATTTTTGTCCCTCTCCCGAAATGCTAGTAAGCATCTGTCATGATCTGTGTAGGATTGGGAGATGGGGCCTGGTGCGGCCTAGGCCCAGGAGAGACCTGTGTGGGAGTGGGAAGCAGACAGTCTACAATCCCCACAATGCTTAGTGACGGTTGTAGCCAATCTGTGTCCAGGGATTCTGTGAGGAGATGGGGACTTAAGCTTGGTGGGCTGAAAAACTGTGTTCTTTCTCTCAAGGAGTTAAACTGAAGGGTCCCTGAGTTCTTTTTCCTCACAAAGTAAGCTGGACAGGACAGAGTTAAACTGAGAGAAAAATCCCTCACTTGGGACAGAGTACAGGCACAGGCCTGGTATACAAGGCTGTGGGCCTTAAATAGTAACAAGAGAAATAGGTAGTCATGTTAGCTTTGTGTTTATTTTGCCTTTAGACACTGTTATATATTTTAAGCTCCTTGTCTTGGTTTCAATGCCCCAATACTGTTTTAATAAACCATTTGTTTAATGTTCTCTGCCTGGTCATCACACCTATATTTCTCGGCTTAAAAGGGGCATTTTGGTTGGGCTTGGGAGGGCACTCTGGGCCTTCCCAAGGGACCCTAAGTCCAGAGTGGTGGCAGACGAAGGTGGCAACCCACAGGGGGTCATGACAGCATCCAATGAAGCAGAAGTTACGATGGACAGAAGGAAATACTTCTTTACTCAGAGGGTGGTTAAAATGTGGAATTCGCTGCCAGAGGATGTAGTGACGGCCACAGGAATAAACAGCTTTCAAAGGGGATTAGATCGATTCATGGAGGAGAGGTCTATCAATGGCTACTAGCCATGGTGGCTGAGGGGAGCCTCCACATTCAGAGGCACTAATCCTCTGAATCCCAGAGCCAGAAGGCAACATCAGGGGAAGGCCTCAGCCTACATGCCCTGTTGCTGGCCCTCCAGAGGAACGGGTTGGCCACTGTGTGAGACAGGATGCTGGACTAGATAGGCCACTGATTTGATCCAGCAGGGCTCTTCTTTTGAAAGCCTTGGCGTCTCTGCCCTGTTGTTGGCCATCCAGAGGAATTGGTTGGCCACTGTGTGAGACAGGATGCTGGACTAGATGGACCACTGCTCTGATCCAGCAGGGCTCTTCTTACGTTCTTATGTCTGTTCTTTAGTACTTCTCATAATCTTTGTACAAAGTTCACCAACTGGTAGGGCAAGGATTTTTAGGGAAAGGATAGAATCTCTTTTACCTTTGGCAGCCAATTAAGGTAGCTGAAGAAAAAGTCAAACAGTTGCTTTTTAATTGCTGGTGTCAAATTTAGCCTTTTCAATCCTGATGCAAAAAACCTGAATGAGCATTATTGGATATGTTTCAGCGTACCTGCTTATGATCTCATGATTACTTTGAGAACTGATCACTTATCTACAAAACCATCACATGATAAAGTTATAGAGATTTATCTAAGTTGGTGGCTGTCACTGTACAGAAGGCATCACACAGAGAGCTGGTTAACTGTGGAAGGACTGTAAAGAGGATGTGAGTGCGATTTCTGTCTGTGTGTGTTTGGCTTCCAAAGCTCCCTAAAGCATTCTCAAAGAGTTATTTAAAATCTGATTTGCTTTAAACCTCGCATATTCAAGTTACATTTGAGAAATGCCAACAGATCTGGTTTTCTTTGCATGTGGTTTCTCAGTATTTATGGGTATCTATTGTTTCATATCTATTTTTTACTCTCTGACCTAAAAAAAAGACAGAGAGATGTCTTCCTTCAGTAAAAGGTCATTAGCTCATGGAAGTTTCTGCTTGGTTTTGCTGGGACAAGGTTAAACATGGAACATGCTTAGAATTCTTGTTGCATATAGGTAAGTTGCCCTCTCAATGGCGATTACCTGTGGCAACTTGGCTAAGGAAAACAATTTCCGTACAAGCCAATTCTGGGTGGTGGTAGAAAGGGCCATCAAGTCTATAACGGAATATATACGCCCTCTGCTGGAACAGCTGAATAACTTCAAGGAACAGATGTCTATAGTGACTCAAAGCATTACTGCACAACAAACCCAGATAAACGATATGATACAAATAATGAAGCAAGATTCTGAGAAGGTAAAGGAAGTGGCTGCAACTACCCAGAAGGTGAAGAAAAAAGTGCAAAAACTGGAAAGGAAACAAATCTCCATGGAAGATCAACTGCTGCAAGTGCAAATGGAAAAGGGCAACATGATTCTTCGCTTCCAGGGCATGCCAGAGAACAGGGGGGAGAATCTTAAAGAAGTGATGAGTGAATTATTGGCCCCAGTGACAGAAATGAAAGCAGAATCATTACTGAACGAGATGGATGTGGTTTACAGATCACATTCAGGCTATATAAAGAAGAATAATTTGCCTGGGGAAATTGTCGTAAGATTCTCGAAGAGGCATGTGAGGGATGCAATCCTGAAAGCGGTCGCTGGAACACCCCTGAAAGTGGGGGACAATACCATCAGAACGCTAAAGGATATTCCATTTGAAGTAAGACAATGGAGAAAGAAGTACAAAGAACTTGTGCTTTTTCTTCAGACAAACTCAATTGGATATAAATGGCTATTTCCAGAAGGCGTCACTTTCAAGATCAAGGATAAAAAAGATTGACTCTGTTCTGAAAGCTCAAGAATTCCTAAGGGTTCAGCTGGGAAGACTAGAGGACGGGGAAAAAGAAGAGGACAGCAAGTCTAGTGGCGAGCTGGACTCGGGTTCTTCCGGAGAGGACTCTCTGACAGAGCAAGGGGCAGCTGCTCCAAAAAGTCCTTATAAGCTGCGGAAGAGACGAGGAAAGGAGAAGTGAAGGCTGAAGGACTCTGAATTGTGCCTTTGAGAACTCTGAAATGGGATGATTGGGGGGTACTGTTCCTAGACAGTTAAATTTAAGAGTTAAAGAAAAAGAAAGTAATACAAATGTTTGTCTCAGTTTATAATGAACTTTTATAACCAACTGTAGAGCACCATTTGAGCTTGTATTACTGATGTTTTAATTGTAACCTATGTTTTATACAAATGTTTGACTCAGTTTATAATGAACTTTTATAACCAACTGTAGAGCACCATTTTAGCTTGTATTACTGATGTTTTAATTGTAACCTATGTTTGATCTCCGGGGGCTCAAAAAAAAAAGAAAGAAAGGGCCCTCAAGTCACACCCAATGTGCGGTCGGTGGGGTTTCCAAGGCAAGAGACAAACAGAGGCGGTTTGCCATTGCCTCCCTCTGCGTAGCGACCCTGGGCTTCCTTGGTGGTCTCCCATCCAAGGACTAACCAAGGCTGACCCCGCATAGCTTCTGAGATCAGATGATATCGGGCTTGCCTGGGACATCCAGGTCAAGGCAGAGACAAACCGAGGAGGTTTTTGGCCCTTGCCTGCTTCTGCACAAAAAACCCGAAACTTCCTTAGTGGCCTCCTGTCTGTGTACAAACCGGCGCCGACGCTGCTTCGCTTCTGAGATCTGACGAGACCGGGCGAGGCTGGGCTATTTAGAAGCTAATTCTTACAGGTAGGATATGGGCCAATGATCCTGTTACAACGAGGAGCACGCCGCAAGCCGAACTCACCGGCTGGCTTCCTTGATCAACGCAATGGCGATGAGGATCCTCTTGCGCAGGAAGATGAGCAGAAGGATGATGACCACCTCCGTGATGCAAAGGATGATCACTAGACGGGAAGCAGAAAGCGTCCTGAGAACACGTGCACGCATGAAGCTGCCTTAGACTGAATGAGACCATTAGTCCATCAAGGTTAGTACTGTCTACCCAGACTGGCAGCGGCTCTCCCATCACCTCCTGTCTGGTCCTTTAACTGGAGATGTCAGGGATTGAACCTGGGTCCTTCTGCATGCCAAGCAGAGGCTCTTCCACTGAGCCACCACTCCTCTTTACAGCTCTCCAGGGTCTCAAGCAGAGGCCTTTCCCATCACCTCCTGCCTGGTCCTTTTAACTGGAGATTCCGGGGATTGAACCTGGGTCCTTCTGCATGCCAAGCAGAGGATCTTCCACTGAGCCACAGCCCCTCTTTACAGCTCTCCAGGGTCTCAGGCAGAGGTCTTTCCCATCACCTCCTGCCTGGTCCTTTTAACTGGAGATTCCGGGGATTGAACCTGGGTCCTTCTGCATGCCAAGCAGAGGCTCTACCACTGAGCCACCGCCCCTCTTTACAGCTCTCCAGGGTCTCAGGCAGAGGTCTTTCCCGTCACCTACAGCCTGGTCCTTTTAACTGGAGATTCTGGGGATTGAACCTGGGACCTTCTGCATGCCAAGCAGAGGCTCTTCCACTGAGCCACAGCCCCTCTTTACAGCTCTCCAGGGTCTCAGGGGGAGGGCCTTTCCATCCCCCCCCGGCTGGTCCTTTTAACTGGAGATGTCGGGGATTGAACCTGGGTCCTTCTGCATGCCAAGCAGAGGCTCTACCACTGAGCCACCGCCCCTCTTTACAGCTCTCCAGGGTCTCAGGCAGAGGTCTTTCCCATCACCTCCTGCCTAGTCCTTTTAACTGGAGATTCCGGGGATTGAACCTGGGACCTTCTACTTGCCAAGCAGACGCTCTACCGCTGAGCTATGGCCCCTTCCCATACATGAGGATACCTGTGACCAGATTCCACTGCACAGAGGAAAATTCTGCCAACTTCCTGGCAGCCAGAGCAGTTCCTCGGTGGGACTGACTCCCTCGGGAGGTGGTGGCCTCTCCTTCTTTGGAGGTTTTCAAACAGAGGCTAGATGGCCATCTGGCGGCAATGCTGAACTTGGGCAGATCATGAGAGGGAAGGCAGGAAGGGTTGCCTCAGGGCTTAGTTCTCGTGGCCCTTCCTTACACGCCCAGGGAAATGCCGATCGTCACTTTGGGGTCAGGAAGCCATTTTTCTCCAGGGCAGTTTGGCTGGAGATCCTGGAGGTTTTTTTGTCATTTTCTGGGCGTGGAACAGCAGTCACTGGGGGTGTGGAGGGGGAGGTCTTTGTGAATGTCCTGCCTTGTGCAGGGGGTTGGACTAGGTGACCCCGGAGGTCCCTCCCAACTCTATGATTCTATGGTAAGATTCTCAAGACAAATCTACCGGCTCATCAGAACCTGGCCACCTGAGAGACACGCTCGTCACCGAGGGTTTCAGAAAAGCACTTACTGAAGGCCAGCCAGGTTTGCCTTAGGTGGAGATAAACACGGAAGTCCGTCTGGAAGCCCAGGTCCTTCAGAGAGACGTCAGATCCAGCCTGACCTTTCAGCGCCGCATATTCCATGTAGCAATGGAAGATCCCTGCCAAGATAAGTCAGTGGTCAGACCGGACGAGACGAGACAAGAGTCTGTTGAGTCTCTCTCTCTCCCCTTTAACATATGCAGGTGGGATTCTTGAAATTATTTTCAGAAGCTTTTGTTTCAAGCTTAGCATCCAAACCCTAAAATTCCCTATGCTGTGCTATGTGACGTCTAGCCTGGATCCAAGTCTTCGTGGGCCTTGACTCACGCTCCAAATAGACTACACTGGATTTAGAGGGTGAACGTCACCTATAGAACATATAATCTGGTGTTCCTGGGCCATGGTTGAGCTACAAAAGTTAATTATGAAATTATGAAGTATTCTAAGGGCATCAGGAACGATACATCAACATGTCCAATAACAACAAGTATTTTCAAATAAGTACTTGAAAAAGGGTGCCTTGCACACGAAAGCTCATACCTTGAATAAAACTTTGTTGGTCTTAAAGGTGCCAACACTGGACTCTAAATTTGTTCTACTGATGAAGGGAGTTTGCGTCAGCCAGGTGCCTACTGGCTGGGGGGCATGGGGAGGACACCCCCTTGGTGCTGTCTGTACGTGACTGAGCGGTACGTATCAAGAGAGCTAATTTTCAACCTAGCCAAATCTGTGTATACGTGATCTGTGTATACGTGATCTGTGTATACGTGACTGGGGCCATCGACAGACAAGATGGATCTTTCTACAACCCTGAGAAGAGCCCCAGGTTTGCAGAAAAATCTGAAATCTTCAAACAAAAAAGGAGTGTTAACCCCTCTAATAATAGAAGTAGCACCCTGTTAAGCTTTAAGAAATGAATGCCTTCTCAGCGGCAGCTGCTAGGCAACCAGGACGGAAACCCAGATAAAAGAGTAAACTTCTAAAGCTTCCTTGGAGGCCGAACTTTCTTGAGTCCACAAAGACTGATCAATATGTAGAAGTCATTGAGACTAAACTGAGGTAGAATCCTGTAAGAGTTTCATCACGGCAACCCTGTTCTAGCGCCCGCAAGCGAAGCAAAGAGAGAAGGGCAAAAAGCGCCTCAGGGTTCAAATCCCCAAACAACAGGCGAGGGAGGGGGAAACACGGAATGTGCTAGACCAGGGGTGTCAAGCATGCGGCCCGGGGGCCAGATCAGGCCCACACTGAAACTGGCCATCCCCTGCGTCCAGTTCTGTTGCTGCTGCTACATCATAGCTTGCTTCGCCAGACTCTCTCAATTGCTCAGTCATTTCATGTTTTCCCCTGGGTCTTAGACTCAGAACTCTGAGCATGAGATTTCTGTGGTGGATGTCAAAAAATCAAAAGTAGGTTTGCAGCTTACAGATACACACTTGAACAGCATACTCAAGATTGCAACAGCACAGACATTTTGATGCAATAATTCAGAGCAAGAGGTGTCCGTTATCAGATACTGTTAAATAAACAAAATATTACAAGAGTGCTTGATGTTTTTAAGCATTTTTTTATTTCGAGTAAAAAAAAATCTTTGTGTTTGTGTCCTTTATAAAGTCTGTATCTCTGCTACCTGGCACTACATTTCATGACACGCACATGGCCCGGCCCAACGAGGTTTCCTTTATGTCAGATCCAGCCCTCATGACAAATGAGTTCGACCCCCCAGTGCTAGATCGTCCTCGAGGGAGCGGCAGGCTCCGCTGGGCCAACACCCGAGATTTCTGGCTTAACCAAACTCACCATATCCAAGGACCAGGATCACCAGGACAATCATCACCCAGACCATGATCCCTGCCAGGAACCGAAGGAGGACGATAAAGATGAGACTGACCACCATGGAAATCACCAGACCTCTGCAAATGGAAGACGAAGAGGGGAGTCCATAACTCTTGTGGTGCTAAGTGGTGGCAGAAGCGCCCCACAGTCAGCTTTTTTTTTTTTTTTTTAAGAGACGCCAATGTTGGATCAGGCCAAAGGCCCATCCAGTCCAACACTCTGTGTCACACAGTGGCCAGAAATACCAGGTGCCACCAGGAGGTCCACCAGTGGGGCCAGGACATTAGAAGCCCTCCCACTGTTGCCCCCCCCCCCAAGCACCAAGAAGACAGAGCATCACTTGCCCCAGAGTCCCTATCTAGACCTTGTGGCTAATAGCCACTGATGGACCTCTGCTCCATATGCTTATCTAATTCCCTTTTGAAGCCGTCCATGCTTGTAGCTGCCACCACTTCCTGTGGCAGTGAATTCCATGTGGTCATCACTCTTTGGGTGAAGAAGTACTTCCTTTTAGCCGTTCTAACCCGACCGCTCAGCAATTGCATGGAGTGCCCACGAGTTCTTGTATTGTGAGAAAGGGAGAAAAGTACCTCTTTCTCTACCTGTTCTTTCCCATGCATAATCTTGTAAACCTCAATCATGTCATCCCTCAGCTGTTTTATATAGAAGAACAGCCTTGGGGGGGGGGAGAATCCTCAGAATAGACCAAAAAAGGGAAGACTCGGGCTCGCCCTACACTGTGTACCTGTTGTACCTTCTATCCTTTTGTCCCCTTTTGCTTCGCACATCTGGTTTTAGGTTTTATTGCTTATCGCTTGCCCTCACTGATATGGCATTCCTAAGGGGGGGGGAGTGTGAGAGACTGTAGAATTAGGGAGGCAACTGCATGAGCAACTCTTCTCTAAACAGCACCTCAAGGAACTCTCACACAAGAGTCGTCCTTGAAGAGATAAGACTTTTGAATGGCTAGATGGACCAATATATCTGTCATGGTTCCTAGCACAGCTTGGGGGTGTGTGAGGTATGATTGGAATGTGGGTTTTGACCAGGGGTCATTTCCTGCAGGAGCGCACAGGAGCGGAGCTCCGGCAGTAAGGAGCCTGGGGGCAGGCACATGCAACAAGCCCCGCCCCCTGCTCCCAGCAGCCCTCAGGCGGGCCACGAGGCGCATGAAGCAGCCAGGTGAGTTGCAGAGCCCCCCCCCCCCGGCCTGCCTTCAGGTACAAGCTTTTCCTCCTCTGTGAGGGCAGATCTGCGCGTCCCCCCCCCCCCAATGCTAGCAATCCAAAACAGTCCAGTGGAGCCTGAGCGGTGGGTGTTGCCTTCTGACACACTTCCGGTGATGTCAGGGGGTGTGGCATATGCAAATGAGTTATGCTAATGAGTTATGCTAATGAGCTCCTGCACCTCCTTTTCTACGAAATGACCCCTGGTTTTGACTATACACTGTGTCCCCGCTTTAAGACCTTCAGGCCTGACGAAAAGGTTCAACTCTTTAGCATCTCAAGTCTCCTCAATAAACTTTCCTACAAGAAAGCCTGTGTGGAGAGAGTGATTTGACCGGGAGTCTGACAGGACAGACACCACTCTGGCCTCCATTCGCACATTCTCGTTCCACACTTCAGCCAAACTAGCAAGTTCTCTACTCACAATATTATCCAGTACCAGGAAACAGTGTAATCCTCAAAGATCTTCATGGCCACTTGCCTGGCCTCCAGAACCACATTGGCTTGTCTAGACGGAAGAAACAGCAAGGCATGAGAAGGCGGGAAGGCGGAGGTGTCGTTTTCCATTCAGTGCCAGGAGACTCTCAAGGTCCCGACCGGCTCTCGGTGCCCCCCCCCCGCTTTACTGCCCCCTCCCCTTCCAGCCCTCTTGACGGAGGCCGCCTGCCTGGCTCCTGCTACTGACTTGCCTGACTGGAGGAGGTTTTAGTGTAGTGGTTAAGTGTGCGGACTCTAGGTTTGATTCCCCACTCCTCCACATGCAGCTGCTGGTGTGACCTTGGGTCAGTCACAAGCTCTGGCACAGCTGTCCTTGAGAAAGAGCAGTTTGTGTCAGAGTTCTCTCAGCCCCACCCACCTCAGAGGGTGTCTGTTGTGGGGAGGGAAAGGGAAAGGAGTTTGTAAGCCGCTCTGAGACTTCTTTGGGTAGTCAAGGGCGGGGTATAAATCCAATCTCTTCTTCTTCTTTTACCTCACAGGGTGTCTGTTGTGGGGAGGGGAAGGGAAAGGAGTTTGTAAGCCGCTCTGAGACACCTTTGGGTAGTGAAGGGCGGGGTATAAATCTAATCTCTTCTTCTTCTTTTACCTCACAGGGTGTCTGTTGTGGGGAGGGGAAGGGAAAGGAGTTTGTAAGCCGCTCTGAGACACCTTTGAGTAGTGAAGGGCGGGGTATAAATCCAATCTCTTCTTCTTCTCTTCTTATAGGCACGAAGATCGAAACACAGCCTGGCCCCTAGCTCTCTGATGTCCACCTCCTTTTCAGACGTCACCACCAGCGGAACCTCCTGCATTCAGAGCTCTTCATATGAAGCTGCCTCTTACTGAATCAGACCCTCCTCGGTCCATCAAAGTCAGCATTGTCTACTCAGGCTGGCAGCGGCTCTCCGGGGCCTCGGGCCGGAGGTCTTTCCCATCACCTACTGCCAGATTTATTAACTGGAGATGCCAGGGATTGGATTTGGGACTTTCTGCATTCCAAGCAGAGGCTCTACCACTGAGAGGAAGGGCCACGTTTGGTGTAGTGGCTAAGAACTGCAGACTCTAATCTGGAGAACCAGGTTTGAGTCCCCACTCCTCCACATGCAGCTGCTGGTGTGACCTTGGGTCAGCCACAGTTCACTCAAAGCTGTGCTCTCAAGAGCAGTTTCTGTCAGAGCTCTCTCAGCCCCACCCACCTCACAGGGTGTCTGTTGTGGGGAGGGGAAGGGAAAGGAGATTGTAAGCCGCTCTGAGACTCCGAATGAAGGGTGGGGTATAAATCTGTCAGGTAGCCCTGTCATAAGTCTGGAATGTGGAGGGGTGCCCTCCTGTTTTCTGTCTCAACTCTCCCTGGCTCACCAACTGTTTGCTATCTTATGCTTGACCTTGTAGATGCTACAGCTGTAGTTTTACTCGTCTGGGAAAGTTAACGGCTTTTTGCTTTGCCTGCTTGTTTTGCCCGTGCACGCGAGATGTATCTATTGGCTTATGTTTACCGGGGGGATGTTTGATTCTAGTATAAGTCAGGGGCCCTTGTATAGGCGGCCATTCCTGACACAAGCTGTAAACATGTCTTTAGTACTGGATTTACCAATAAACAGTTATCTTCTTATGAAGCCCTGTGTTCTGTAACCTGACTAAGGACCCTGACAAAATCTAACTCTTCTTCTTCTTCATGGCTCCTGTGGCAGAAAATCTGCTTGGCATGCAGAGGGTCCCGGAGGACCGCACAATAGGTGATGTGGAAGACCTCTGCCTGAGACCCTGGAGAGCCGCTGCCGGTCTGAGTACACAATACTGACCCTGATAGACCAAGGGTTCAGTTCAGGATAAGGCAGCTACATGTGTTCACGCGTGTTCTTTCGACACGCAGCCTGTTTTACCGTGGGCCCAAATCCAAATTTGGCATAAAATTAGACAGAGCACAGTTGTTCCTACTGATACCATTACATCTACTGATACAGCTGACCCTAAGTGGGGTCGGCCTTGGTTAGGACACGGATGGAAGACCACCAAAGAAGTCCAAGGTTGCTACGCAAAGGCAGGCAATGGCCAACCACCTCTATCTGTCTCTGCCCCGACCTAGATGGCCATGGCTAGCCTGATCCTACCAGGTACTGAAAGCTAAGAAGGGTCAACCTTCATTAGGACTTGGATGGAGGATCACCAAGGAAGTCTAGGTTTGCTACACGGGGGCAGGCAATGGCCAACCACCTCTATCTGTCTCTACCCCGACCTAGATGGCCATGGCTAGCCTGATCCTACCAGGTCTTGGAAGCTAAGAAGGGTCAGCCTTCGTTAGGACTTGGATGGAGGACCACCAAGGAAGTCCAGGGTTGCTACACGGGGGCAGGCAATGGCAGAACCACCTCTATCTGTCTCTACCCTGACCTAGATGGCCATGGCTAGCCTGATCCTACCAGGTCTTGGAAGCTAAGAAGGGTCAGCCTTCGTTAGGACTTGGATGGAGGACCACCAAGGAAGTCCAGGGTTGCTACACGGGGGCAGGCAATGGCCAACCACCTCTATCTGTCTCTACCCCAACCTAGATGGCCATGGCTAGCCTGATCCTACCAGGTCTTGGAAGCTAAGAAGGGTCAACCTTCATTAGGACTTGGATGGAGGACCACCAAGGAAGCCCAGGGTTGCTACGCGGGGGCAGGCAATGGCAGAACCACCTCTGAATGTCTCTGGGTTTAAGACCCCAACCAGGGTTGCCATAAGTTGGCTCTGACTTGACAGCACTTCACCACCACCACCGCCACGAAGAGTGAGACTTACTTGGCCCCGTCCACAAGATCTGTCACATTCCTTTGCTGTCCACGTCCATCGTCGAAGATAGTCTGATTTCCAACCATGATGACCCCTTTCTTAGCGTTGATTGCAGGCAGGCATCGGCGGGCCACTGAACGGGGCAGAAGACACAGAACTGAGCTGCAGCCGAACGTCGGTGAGGAAATTCACAGAGGGACAGGGCAAGGCTGGGCCCCCCTCAGGGGAGGGGGTGGAAAGCGACCACAGCCCCCCCCCTTCCCGAAAATCAAGTATTTGTCTATTTAGTTCCACCACTTCTGGGCAGCTCCCACATTTCCAAGGGTCGGGTTGACCACTGCACTTCAGGGAAAGCAAGAAGTAGAATTTGGACAAGGGAGCAAGGGAGGGGAAAGCAAGGCGGGGGGGGATCGGGTTACTATTGATCCTATTTTATACCACTTTTTAAAAAAATTATTCATTTCTTTCTTTTGACTTCTATCCTGCCCGTCCCTGCACAGCAAAAGACCGCCTCCGACTTGGCTCAGAGGAATCAAAGCCTAACAAAAATAATAAAGCTCAGGGGTAATTTCCTGCAGGAGCGCACAGGAGTGGAGCTCCGGCAGTAAAGAGGCCATGGGGTGGGCACATGCAACAAACCCCACCCCCTGCTCCCACCAGCCCTCAGTCAGAGCAAGAAGCAGCCAGGTAAGCTGCAGAGCCCCCCCCCCCCGGCTCACTGGTCCAAAACAGTCCAGTGGCACCTTTAAGACCAAGTTTTAGTCAGGTATAAGCTCTCCCTCCTCTGCGAGGGCAGATCTGCACGTTCCCGCATATCTGCCACTCATCTCCACAATTTTGGTATGCCATTGGAGTCAGCAGCAAAACTCACCTTTTCTGAAATTGAGGTTGGTTCTGGGCAGGGGTCATTTCCTGCAGGAGCGCACAGGAGCGGAGCTCCAGCATTAAAGAGGCCAGGGGGCGGGCACATGCAACAAGCCCCACCCCCTGCTTCCAGCAGCCCTCAGTCAGAGCAAGAAGCAGCCAGGTAAGTTGCAGAGCTCCCCCCAGCCCCACAGCCCAAAACAGTCCAGTGGCACCTTTAAGACCAGGTTTTATTCAGGTACAAGCTCTCCCTCCTCTGCGAGGACAGATCTGCACGTTCCCCCCCCCCAATAGCTAGCAATCCAAAACAGTCCAATGGAGCCTGAGCGGTGGGTGTTGCCTTCTGACACGCATCCGGCAATGTCAGGGGGTGTGGCATATGCAAATGAGTTATGCTAATGAGTTATGCTAATGAGCTCCTGCACCTCCTTTTCTACGAAATGACCCCTGATAAAGCTCAACACAAAACGCTCCTCTGGGAGGGGATTCTCAGCTGAGTGGAGCCAGGCGTGGGGGAGAGATCGGCTCACTCTTGATGAAGCTGGAGAGAAGGAGGCTGTCCGCTGGAGCGGGGCTCAGCCATGAAGGACGGGTGCCTCTCTTGCTTCCCTGTGGCTTCCCCTCCCCTTGACCATCCCCACAACCTGGGGTCATTTCGAAGAAAAAGAGGTGCAGGAGCTCATTAGCATAACTCATTTGCACAACTCATTTGCATATGCCACACCCCCTGACATTGCCGGATGCGTGTCAGAAGGCAACACCCACCGCTCAGGCTCCATTGGACTGTTTTGGATTGCTAGCTATTGGGGGGGGGGAACGTGCAGATCTGTCCTCGCAGAGGAGGGAGAGCTTGTACCTGAATAAAACCTGGTCTTAAAGGTGCCACTGGACTGTTTTGGGCTGTGGGGCTGGGGGGAGCTCTGCAACTTACCTGGCTGCTTCTTGCTCTGACTGAGGGCTGCTGGAAGCAGGGGGTGGGGCTTGTTGCATGTGCCCGCCCCCTGGCCTCTTTAATGCTGGAGCTCCGCTCCTGTGCGCTCCTGCAGGAAATGACCCCTGCCCAGAACCAACCTCAATTTCAGAAAAGGTGAGTTTTGCTGCTGACTCCAATGGCATACCAAAATTGTGGAGATGAGTGGCAGATATGCCATCTAGGTCAGTAGTTCTCAAACTGTGGGTTGTCAAGAGTTCCCTCTAAGCTGTGCTAGAGGGTGCTGCTGGCACACACAATTTTCGCTCCGGCCCAGGGGTTTTAAACCTCTGCTCACAGTAAGGCATTTCCACCTCCATTGGAAACAACGGGGGATGGGGGCACCTCGTTCTGGGGCCCATAGAAGTGGACCCTCTGGTCCAATGTTTTTGAAACTTGGGGGGTGGGTGGTTTCCTCAAACCAGCAGTTATCCTGCAAAGTTGGTGCCTCTGGCTCAAAAAACAGCCTCCCCAGAGCACCAGATCAGTGTTCCCTCCAAGCTGAGTTAGTGTGAGCTAGCTCACAGTTCTTTAGCCTCTGGCTCACACATTTTTGTTTTAGCTCAGGAAGGATGGCTCCAAAGCAAACTGATTTGTGCAGTAGCCAAATGACTCGCTCACAGCTTTCATGCCAGTAGAAGAGAGAGAGAAGAGATTGGATTTATACACCGCCCTTCACTCGGAGTCTCAGCGCGGCTTACAAACTCCTTCCCCACCCCCTCCCCACAACAGACACCCTGTGAGGTGGGTGGGGCTGAGAGAGCTCTGACAGAAACTGCTCTTTTTCAAGGACAGCTGTGCCAGAGCTTGCGACTGACCCAAGGTCACATCAGCAGGTGCAAGTGGAGGAGTGGGGGAATCAAACCCGGTTCTCCCAGATTAGAGTCCGCACACTTCACCACGACACCAAACTGGCTCCAGTAGCTCACCAAGTAGAACTGTTCTCACAAGACTCGACAGCTTAGAGGGAGCATTGCCCCAGATACCCTTCGATCGATTCTCCATCACAGCCTATGAGGCCCATTGACTATAATGGTCCCCGTAGGCTATAACGGAGGTGGGATACAGGGACCGAGATCACATCCAGTACAAAGTCAACACTGAGCCACTGCTCGGGCCAAGTCAGAGGGACAACCGGGATTTCTGAGCAGAAACAGCAAGTCAAACCCCGCCCCCCAATGTCCCCTCCCCCCAAACACACCATTTTGTTTCCCCAGCCAGACTTACAGGGCTTGCTGGGGGTGATCATGGCCGGGCAGTCGCCATCTCTCAGAACTTCAGGGGGGCTCTGCAGAAAGAGAAGGAGGCAAGTTTTAATTCCCGCCAAGGGGCAGGGAGAATCTCTCCACCGACCCAATCCGGAAGAGCAAAGGCACCAGATCGACGACGGCGCCGTCCTACGCGGTGTTAAACCCACGGAAGCCCACTAACTCCACCCCCCGGGGAGGCGTGACTTTCCTGAGAATTGCAGCGTGGAAGCCTGGCTCCACTTGCCAAGCCAGTTCCTGTCAGATTATAAATGCAGAGGCACAAGTGCAGAGATAAGTTTATATTTGTAAAGTCAGGTTGCGCCTGCAGACAACTTGAAGATTCAAGCATGAGAGATGTGGGCGTGTACTGTGGGGCTCTGTCAATCTTATCTGTGTGAGACAACTTGAAGTCTGATTGGCTGTCGCGCCTGTCTTAGTCGTACACTGAGATTCTGAGAGTGACAGTTATTTTGCCACTCACTGTCAGTTGGTGTTTCTGAGAGTTTAACAGTAATTGTTCTATGTTGGTCTGTTAAATAATAACTCTAGATATATACAAACTGTTGTTTAATGATTCACCAGTAAATAGTTAGATAAACACCATTTAAACTTAACCGTGTTTGGTGTGGTTCTTTTGAGTCTTCCAAAACAAAGAAACATTAACAAATATTTTTAACAGTTCCTGCCCTTACCCATTCTCACAGACCATTTACCTTCTTCAGGCTTTTAAATCCCGGGACGCAGAATTGCTTGTAGTACTCTTCGTTCTGGGCTGAGGCTTGCAGGTAAGTGAGGTACCGATCCGGGCACTTTTCGACACAGATCTGGAGGGGACAAAGACGTGGGCTTTAGCGCAAGCGAATCTTATTGAACGGGCACCAAAGCGGAGATGGAGTCCCGGGGGGGGGGGAGTTCCGTGAAACTTATGGATATGTTTAGACGGGACTCTTTTTACACTCACAGTGACCATTTCCTAATTAACATCCTCAATTTTTCGTCAGCCTGCATCTGATGTGCACCTGCTTTTTCTATTTGAACATCTGTATTCTGCCTCTCCAGAAACATGCTCAATGTGGCCAACAATAATAATATACTTTATTGTCATTGTACATAGTACAACGAAATTAAGGTGCAATCATTCGGTGATCTACAACCATACTCATATACACTCACACAACCATTCACAACCATCCCATAACTCCTTTAAGGTTCACATTGCAACTTAAACCACCAATGTCACCCAAATTCCAATTCATACAGCATTTAAAGCAATAATAGCTCTCGAATAAAAACTGTTTTTTAATCTGTTTGTCCTTGTTTTGATTGTCCTACATCTTCTGCCCGAAGGCAGCAGTTCAAACAGGGAGTGTTCAGGGTGTGACAAATCCTGCAAAATGTTCTTTGCTTTTTTCAAAAAAGTCTGGACACACACGACCAAAACAATAGAATAATGATAAGACCAACAGTCGTGTTTAGTCTGACCCGCAATCAACAGTCATTAGACTACTAAGGATTACTGTACATGTATTGTGCTCTAAGGCATTACAATATAATGAACAACTTAATAGAATTTATAAATCAAGGTGCAACGTCGTCTCCGGATTATTTACAAACGTTTCAAAAATATATCTTCGTCAGGAGATATTTTGCATGGAGGTGCCAAAACTCTCCTTTTCATAAAGGTTAGACTAATGAGTGTTGGATCCAAGAAAAAACACTGTGCTGTTATCTGAGATCAGCTTCCTACTGAATTGTGGTATGCTTAAGACTCATTAGTCTAACCTTTATGAAAAGGAGAGTTTTGGCACCTCCATGCAAAATATCTCCTGACGAAGATATATTTTTGAAACGTTTGTAAATAATCCGGAGACGACGTTGCACCTTGATTTATAAATTCTATTAAGTTGTTCATTATATTGTAATGCCTTAGAGCACAATACATGTACAGTAATCCTTAGTAGTCTAATGACTGTTGATTGCGGGTCAGACTAAACTCGACTGTTGGTCTTATCATTATTCCTTTGCTTTTTTCAAGCATCGAGAACTATAACTAAAAAAGAAATAAAAGAATTACACCACGACACCTCAACATCAATCAATCATCTCTCCCTTATAATAAAGCAGTAGTGGGGACCAACGTTCTAAAATGCCCAGTGATTAATTAACAATGGAGGAACAGAAAGTTATGGGGAAAGTGAGGCTTACATGCTTTGTGGTAACAAAGAAAACAAATGGTGGGAACTTTGCAAACTTTATGTATTTACAAGCATTGCACAGGACAAATGGTTGCAAATAATTGCTAATATTATGCAGTCATGCGTATGAAGTATAACTGGCTTGCACTGCATGAGAGAGCAGGTTCTATAACATATATAGAAGCTACTCTTGCACTGTGTAATCTCTCCTTATATATAATTGAGTAGTGGGTGCCAAAGTTCTAAAATGCACTCCTTTAGTGTATGGACGCTTGAACTGTCAGTCAGAAGACGCTGGCTGGGTTGACTGGCTGCTTTGTGCAGTCCCGCCCAGTGTTTCAAGGTCTTTTGCATATGGAAGCTGATTGGACTTCACTGCATTCCACACCTCAAACTCACCCCCCTCCCCGCAAGGCAGTTGGAATGTCAGTTGCATATGGAACCTTCAAGGTCTTTTGCATATGGAAGCTGATTGGACTTCACTCCATTCCACACCTCATACTCCCCCCCCCGCAAGGCAGTTGGAATGTCTGGTGGTGTGTAGGTCCCAGGATCATGTTTTAAAAGCTGCCTGGGGAGATGGGGACCTCAGACAGGTTACAGTGCCATAGACTCCACCCTCCAACCCAGCTATTTGCTCCTGGGGAACTATTGTTGCCAATCTTGGCCCAGCAGCCATCAAACCATTCTCTTCAACCCCCTGCTGTGCAGCTGACTTTCCCCTAGGGTTGCCAATCTCCAGGTGGGACCTGGAGATCTCCCACTGTTACAATTGATCTCCAGATGACAGAGATCAGTTCCCCTGGAGAAAATGGATGCTTTGGAGGGTAGACCCTATGACATTATACCTGCTGAGTCCTTCCGCCTCGCCCCCCCGCCCAATGCTGCCCTCTACAGAATCCACCCCCCAAACCTCCAGGTATTTCCCTCCTTAGAGCTGGCAATCCTACTTTCCCCTCAGTGCCTGTTGGTAGGCAACTAAGCTTGGTCCTGTCACCTACTTTGGCCTTTGGGAGAAAACACATTGGGGCCAGTCCTGATAGGGTTGCCAACTCCAGATGGAAATTCCTGGAGGTTTGAGGGATGGAGCCTGAAGAGGGTGAGGTTTGAGGAGGGGTGGGACCGCAGACAGGTACAATGCCATAGACTCCACCCTCCAAACCAGTCAGTCCCTCATAGGGAACCATTGTTGCCAATCTCCAGGTGAGGGCTGGAGAGCACTCAGAATTACAACTGCTCTGCAGAAGGGAGGGCAGAAGTCAGCTGAAGTCAAAGGGGCAGATAATGGTAGGTTGATGGTTAGCTGGGAAGGAGATGGGGCTGCCAACTACATGCTGACAAATTCCTTGGGATTTGAGGGGTGGAGCCTGGAGAGGGTGGGGTTTCCGGAGGGGTAGGACCTCAGACAGGTAGAATGCCATAGACTACACCCTCCAAACCACCCATTTTGTCCTGGGTAACAATTGCTGCCAATCTCCAGGTGAGGGCTACAGATCACTCACAATTACAACTGCTCTTCAGGTAGCAGAGATCAGTTCCTCTGGAGAAAACAGTGGACTCTGTCATTATACCCTGCTGAGGTCACCACAGCAAATTGACACTGTTTGCCCAAAGCCAGAGCACTGCCCCAGAGACTCTTTCTAGATCCCATTGTATTGCTTTCACAACGGGCTTTACTGCTAGTAGGAGCATAAAAGCAGGTCTTGAAATCACCAGAAAGACAAGACATGCACACGCTGTGACCATCCTACACATTGGTTTCACCAAGTAAGAACATGAGAGAAGCCAGTGTTGGACCAGGCCAATGGCCCGTCCAGTCCAACCCTCTGTGTCACACAGTGGCCAAAAATACCAGGTGTCATCAGAAGGTCCACCAGTGGAGCTAGAACTTCAGAACCCCTCCCACTCTGCCCTCAGCACCAAGAAGACAGAGCATCACAGCCCCAGACAGAGTGTTCCTATCTATACCTTGTGGTTAAGAGCCACTGATGGAGCTCTTCTCTATGTTTATCCAGTCCCCTCTTGAAGCTCTGCTTGCAGCAGAGAATTCCACGTGTTACTCTTTGGGTGAAGAAATACCTCCTCTGATCTGTTCTGAACCTACTGCTCATCAATTTCGCCCAGTGCCCATGAGTTCCTGTATCATTAGGGAGAAAAGTACTTCTTTCTCCTTTCCCGACCTTCTCTGTTCCATGCATAATTTTGTAAACCTCTGCCATGTCACCCCTCAGTCGTCGTTTCTCCAAGCTAAAGAGCCCTAACCTCTTTAACCTTTCTTCTTAGGGAATAGTATCATAAACCCAGGTCTGATCTTGAACAGCAGAATTAGTAAACATGTTATCTGGACTTCCTTGAATTTGGTGACACGTCAACCATCTTCCTAGATAAACAGAAAAGCTTCCCAACCTCAGTGAAACAGTCATAATTACGCAGGTTGTTGGGACAGAGATGGCTCTTGTGGCTTTAGCTGATGATCTCCCTCTGAAAGTCCCTTTATTGTTCCTGCAGCCTTCAATACCGTGGACCATGCCACCATGTTGAGATGTTCAGAGGCAGAATTAGCTTTCAGGAGATGGCCTTTGGACTAGTTTTAATCACTCCTCGAAGGGTTGCCGTTCGAGATCGTGGTTATCAGCCTGGGGTCTGTCCTGTCGGGTTCCATGAGGCACAGCCCTATCCCCCATGCTATTCCATCTCTATGTAAAACCCTTTGGAGAAATCATGCATAATGTGGGGATGGAGTGTCGTCAATATGCTGATGACAACCAGTTCTATACCTCTATCCAAATCACCAAAGGGTGATACAGCAGAGGCCTCGAGCCGCCGTCTAACTGCTGTGGTGATATGGCTGAGGGAACAAACCGGATTCTGACAAGATGGAGTTGATGCTGGGTCGGGATGCCCAGGGCCTTGATGACAGATTCAGGTGCAGGGCCCTGTTGGTCTGAGGCAACCGAACAAAGGCTGAGTCCAAGTGGCACCCTTAAGACCAACCAAGTTTCATTCTGGGTACAAGCTTTTGTGTGCACGCACATTTCTTCAGACAGTCCTTCAGATATCTAATGAGGTAAGTAAAGGTAAAGGTTCCCTTGCTCGAAAGCCAGTCGAATCCGACTCTAGGGTTGCGGTGCTCATCTCCGTTTCAAAGCCGAAGAGCCAGCGCTGTCCGAAGACGTTTCCGTGGTCATGTGGCCGGCATGACTAAACACCAAGGTGCACGGAACGCTGTTACCTTCCCACCGAAGTGGTACCTATTTATCTACTTGCAATTTCTTGCTTTCGAACTGCTAGGTTGGCAGGAGGCGCAACCCTGCAAATGGGTAAGACCAGCGACTGCCCGTTCTCATGCATCCTCAGTGGGGGCTCCCACCTTGTGGAGCGGCCTCTGCCCAAGGTCACTCCACAGAATGCGCAAAATAGTAACGTTTCAAGAGGACACTTTTACAGGGAGATTAGAACGATCGTGGAATGGAACAGCCCAGGAGTACACCTTGATAAAGGAATAGGATTGTACCCCTCTGCAATGATGGCTGTAGGCCGTGTCGCCTGCTTTTACTGCAAGGTCATTGCCTGCCTCTGTGTCATGCCCCAGTATTCCTTGGAGGTAGCCCATCCAAACACTACTCAGGGCCAATGCTCCCTCTAAGCTGTGGAGTCTTGTGAGCAACAATCCTACTTTGTGAGCTACTGGCATGAAAGTTGGGAGCCAGCGATTTATGGCTGCTGCATAAATTAGTTTGCTCTGGAGCCATCCTTCCTGAGCTAAGGGGAAAATGTGTGAGCTGGAGGCTAAAAAAACGTGAGCTGTCTCACACTAACTCAGCTTAGAGGGAACACTGCTCAGGGTCAACCCTGTTTCGCTTCCGAGATCTGACGAGATCGGGCTAGCCTGGGCTATCCAGGTCAGGGCACCTTTGAAACAACTCTAGCCTTAAAAACAAGTTTAGCTCGCCACCTAGTGGTGCATAACGCTAAAAGAGCTGGAACTTCTGCCTGCCAGACAATCTTAGGATTTCCCAGCTATACTGCACACACTGCCGTATTAGAGATGTGAAGGCCTGGAAAAAACCCGGAAAAATTCAGGGGGAAACTGGTTTTTCCCGTTTTTTCCCTGAAGCCTTTTTTGTTTTTTTCAAAAAAAAAATGGGAAAAATTGAAAAAAGGAAAGAAAATTGATTATGGAATGTTTTATTTTAACATGATGAATAAAATATTTTAAGACAAGGTGTTCAAATATTTTCCAAATCATTTCTAAATATATATATATGGTATCAGATTGATCTAATTTCTGTGCACTGAGGACAGGCAAGTTCTAGGTTACAAACTGAACTCTCCAATGCAAGAACAAGATGTGCTATTGTCACAAGAAAAGAAAAAGGTTTCAGTTTTGTTTTTGCATGTGGGTGGGTATTCTGTTTGTAATTGTTTGGATACACTATATTTTTAATATGCTAGTTGTGATAATTTCATGTCCATAGTCATATTTTATGTTCCTAAAGTAACAGAATGACTTTCAATCTGGAAAAGAAGAAAAAAGAAGTGCTAATGTAGCATTTTTTTTCAATTTTTCTGAAAATTTCCATTTTTCCCGGGGGGAAAAAACAGAAAAAACCTGGGGGGGGGGGTCCGAGCTTCAAAATTTCCAGAAATTTTACATCTCTATACCGTATGACAATTAATTAACTGCAAGGTCTTGTCCCTTGCAATTCACTTTCTGTATTGTTTATAGCAGCGATACTCCGTGGCTCATGAAGAGCCACATCTGTAATCCTCAAAGACTAAAAGAGTCATGTGACTACTAAATTATGTACAACTCCCCACTTCATGTGCTTGCAATCAGTTCTGACACAGGATGTATGCACAGATGACCTGCCTTAACTGCACTCAATAAACTTCACTCTTCTGAGTGTAAGTTGCTGGGAACTGATTGCTGTAGGACTCTGACAGTAGGGCTGGTTGGCAGACTCCTGAGCAAAGGAAGTATCATACTTGATTTTACTTCAGTATACATTTTCAAAGCATGACTGTGGGTCAGCAGTCAGGGAAATGCTGATTGCCACTTCGGGGTCAGGAAGCAATTTTTCTCCAGGCTGGTTTGGCCGGGGATCCTGGAGGGTTTTTTGCCATTTTGGTTTGCACGGGTTTCTGGCAGCTGTCACCAGTGTTCCCTCTGAGCTGAGTTCGTGTGAGCCAGCTCACAGTTTTCTAGCCTCCGGCTCACACATTTTTGCCTTAGCTCAGGAAGGGTGGGGCTCCAGAGCAAACTAATTTACACAGCAGCCAAATCGCTGCCTCACAGCTTTAATGCCAGGAGCTCACAAAGTAGAAGTTTCGCTCACAAGACTACACAGCTTAGAGGGAGCATTGGCTGTCACAGCGCGATCATTTCCCTTTCTGACAAGCGTCTCTGCGAAGTTTTTTTGCCATCTTCTGGGCATGGAACAGTGGTCACGGGGTGTGTGTGTGGAGGGGGAGGTATTTGTGAATTTCCTGCCTTGTGCAGGGGGTGACAGCTGCCAGAAACCTGTGCAAACCACGCATAGATTTATGCCGATGCGCTAACAACAATCACACCGGGTGCTTATTTCTTATTTCGATACCTTCTCTGTGTCACTTCCTCACAAGACACTCACAGCCACCAGTGTTTGGGCTAAAGAAACTAAGGGATTATTAATTGATGTGTCAATTACCAGTCGTGTCAAGTTGTACCGTTTCAGACACGTAAATGGTCTTTCTCATCGTGGTTCTGTGTTGGTCTCTTGCTCGGAATTTGGCTTAAATCTGGCCCTTCAATCGCAAAAGGTCGCAGCCTCCTGTTTCAGAGCATGATTAAAAAACCCCAAGGAGACTGACGATTTCCACACTCGGGATTCGTCTCTGCATTTTCTCAATCTTTGAATTTTACACTCCGCTCTGAACTTCCGTGGTCTGTTAGTCCCTGTTTCGAACTTTCCCCTTAATTGCCACATACATAAATGATTGCCCAGGGAGGACCCCCTACACATACCTAGTGAAACGGACTCTAACCCACAACTTTAAAACCTCTTCCGTCTTCAAGGTGCCACAGCACTTCTCTGTTGTTTTTTATACAAGATTCAAATTCGAACACGAGCCCTGGAGTAAAGCAACAAGTGTCCCTCGTCCCATTAACAATTAAACTGTAAAGGGTGCACAACGCGGGAAAAGAGTTAGAAAGCAAGCTACCTGAAGCGGATTCTTCATCTATTAAAATAGCTAAGACTATATAACCATACAATGTCATTTCGGCGATGTCATGCGGAAGAACTCGCTAGAAAAGGCAATTATGCTCGGATTGGTTAGCGGCCAAAGGAAACCGGGCCGCCAAAGAACACGGTGGCTAGACACCATAAAAGTCGACACCAGCCTGAGAATGGAACGACGCAAAGAAACAGTACAAGGTCGGAAAACGTGGAGAGAGCTGGCCCACAGAATCACCACCACGACTGAATGGCTAACCACAACCACCACGATACATCAACATGTCAATGACAGAACAATGAAAAGAGAGCTCCATACAAAAGATGGGACAATCCACACCCACAGGAGTTAAATAAGAATCCACATTTATCAGTTATGGTCCTTCGCTTATTGGGCATCAAACTGAATGCTACAACTTCACTGTTCTGTTGACTCAAAACAGGCTAGATCTTAATCAACCTTGCTCATATACAGAAACATAGACATATTGCTGCCAACATACGGGACTTGGTGCACTGATCTCTTCTTATGCTTCACAGGCCTCCACTCTTCCTTCACCTACATTTCAACTAGGGACATCTGAACCTAAGGCTGTGATCAGACAGCAGGCTTGGCGCAGTCTGGCCGTGCCTCTAATCTCTCCGGAGCTATTTGTTCCAGAGGGGGAGCGACCGGACACGCCACCCTTCTATTTTAAACCCTGTAATCCACCTTGCATCTTAGCGAGAAAAAAACTCTACTTTGTGCATGCGCATATCGCTGAGGGGGGAAATGGCAGCCAGGGAGCAGAACACACAGACCTCCAAACATCTTGAGCATGCAACGGGGTGATTTTGTTGTTGTTCAGTCGCACAGTCGAGTCCGACTCTCCGCGACCCCATGGACCAGATCCCACCAGGCCCTCCAGTCTTCCACCGTCCTCTGACGTTTGCTCAACTTCATGTTCATTGCATCGATGACACTGTCTAACCATCTCATCCTTTGCCGTCCCCGTCTTCTTTGACCTCCAATCTTTCCCAGCATCAGGGTCTTCTCCAGTGAGTGCTCCCTTCTCATTTGGTGGCCATCAGGGGCTGGTGCCCAGGCAGAAATCTTACCTGTGTGGTGGGACACTGGAACTCCAGGAGCACCGAAGGGCTGGCGCACTTCATGATGTTGAAGTAGAACAAGAAAGGTTTTTTTCTGAAACGGGAAGGAGGGGAGAGGCGCATAATAATAATAATATACTTTATTGTCATTGTACATAGTACAACGAAATTAAAGGACGGAGGAAAAACACCTCCCATGTGTGGGTTGTAGAGACTTAATTATCCCCAGGCTACTGAGATTAATGAATTTTGAGAGGAAGGGCTTATAAAAGCTGAACACCTCCCCTTGGGGAAAAACCCCTCATCCACGTTTCCCCTTTAAAATCTGATCCAATATGAAACAGGAGTTGGGCCCTCCCCACTCACACGCTGGTGAGAACCAGGGACCCTTTTTTTTTTTTTTTTTTCTCAAAAAAGCCCTTCAAGGGCTATCCCTGCTCCCACAAAGGCAAGTTTTGTTGCTGGAGGGGGTGGGGAGGGAAAAACTGGCAAGGGAAAAGGCCAGATGGGGGTGAACATGCAGTTGCAAAAAGTCCTAGAAACGTTAGGGTCTCAACTATGAGGCTTGCAAAGAAACAAGATTTGGGGGCAGGGGGGGTCAGGCCTGGGGGGGGTGCGTGCTTGGCACTCAGTGCCAACCATGACTGTGGGCAGGGAAAAGGACTGCCGGGCAGCCTCAGCGCTCAAAGTCTTTCTTTGTCGACGCTGATCAGTCATTCCGGAGGTGTCGCCGCATTAGCCCATTGCAGCAAAGACAAACAAGGATATGTCTTTGCTAAGATGTCCTGTTGCGCGACAGACGGTCTGGGTGGTTCCAGAAGGCCACGTTCGCTTTTCCTCGATGACTTAACATTGCAAATCAGACGAGACTTGCTTAGCCTCGGGTGGGCAGGAGGCCCAGGTTTCACACACGCACATCTGGGGCAAAACAGACCCCTTCCCTTTCTGCTCCCAGAAGGCCGTAAATGAAAAAAAAGACAAGACTGAATCGGCGGGAGAGGGCGGGGGAGCTGCTGAACGCTCTCTTAATATAGCGCAGAGGTTTGCTTTCCGATACCTACTCATTCGGCGTTCCTTTCTGGCCACAAAACTGTCCACGACTGTCTGTCGGGTAGATCACTTTCCGGGGATCGCCTTGACTCCATGCTGGAGAACGGAAAGAGAAGCGTCGTTTGACCGAGGACTGCCCCCTCTCGATCCTGACTTACCAACCAAGCAGCTGCACTCAAGCATCAATATATTATTTTGTTCATATTTATTTTAGTCAAATTCAAAGCCGGCCCTTTCAATCCAGGTGATTTACAATGATCTCACAGCAAGTCTGAGAGGGGAGTAGCTCGTTCAAGTCTACCCTAGGGTCTCTCGCTGGATCTGAACCCAGATCTTCCCAGTTCAAATTCAAGACTCTCTTCTGTATATTTCTACTGATTGTCTCTGCTATTAACAAGCAAGCATAGAAGAAGGAGGAGAAGGAGGAGGAGATGATGATATTCAGGGGTCATTTATGTGGGAACGAGCGATCAATAAATCGAAAGCATTATTA